CTCTCTCTCTCTCTCTCTCTCTCTCTCTCTCTCTCTCTCTCTCTCTTTCTCTCTCTCTCTCTCTCTCTCTCCCCACATCTGCACGAGACGAATTCGTGTTGGTTCTGAATTCCCCTGCGCAGCCCACCAGTAACGGAGCTTGCAACCTCTCTACGCGGGCTCCACACTGTCCACAGGGCCGGGTGCCAAGTCCCACCAGGAGCGTTGAGTTTACTGAACATCCGAACAGGTGCCAAGTTCCACCAGCAGCGTTGAGTTTTCTCAACTCCTGAATCTGGATACATATTAGTGGAGATGTGCAGAAATGACATTGAGTTTCTCAACCCCTCATCTCCACAAACACATCCACTTACCGGCATTGAGGAAACTCTGCGCTGCTAGTGGGACATGGCCCCGGGTAGGTGCTACCTCGTTGACAGACCCTTTATCCCGACTGAAATGTATGGGCATGGCACCCAGGCAGGAACAGGTCCTGAAAACAACAAAACTGCCCATTTTTAACTTGCCATATGTTGGGAGTGGCGCCACATGTTTTATGTTTTTTTTACCTTTATGAACTGGGAAGGAGAGGGGTCTGCCGAACTGTGTTGTTTTTGCCCATTCTGAGGTACAAGTGTGATACAGGTGTACTTGCCCCAGACAAAAGAACTTGGGACTCGAGTAGAAAACTGGTTAGACCTTTTGGTGAGCTGTGTCTTTGATCCGCCACAGAGTGTGGCAAGTGCACAACTGTGTACTGCTGTGTTGTGTAGGGTTCTCCTTGTGAGTGCATGAACTCGGTTTCCAGTAGGTGCACCTCCCCACCAATAGAATGGAGCCATCGGCCAGGCAGGTGCTACAAAGGGCGGTTGCGCATATCAGCCTCGGTGGCAACCCATGAAGGTGTTTATCATTACCAAACAATCACACAATAATTGATTATGCTCTGCGTCAACCGCGTTTTTCGCACGAAGTTCTGGAAAGCCATGTTCATCCTGCGTTGAAACGTGGCTGGGACATTGCAAATCCCCATCGGGTATCAAACCCATTGCCAAGTTCCTTCGAAAAGAATGAACCTCGTTTTCGGGCGATCTTCTTTTCGAACAAGGAGATGGTGGAATCCATGGCGAATATCAAACTTACTGAAAAAACGAGCATTGCCAATCGCATCCAGTAACTCATTGATCCGGGGGAGGGGGTACACATCCTTGATCGTGATATTATTCAACTTTTGGTAATCGATGCATATGCGAATTCCTCCTGCCTTTTTTGGTACAATCACTACTGGAAACGACCATGGTCTGATGCCGGGTTCGATCCATCCATTGGCTTCAAACTCCTTAATCCTCTGAAACGCGGCCGCTCTCTGCGCCGGCGAATATCGATAGGGAGTGCAGCTAATCGGTGGATGATCCCCAGTGAGGATCGCATGCTCAATCACGTTGGATAATCCAATATCGTTATCATGCACACTCAGCACCTCAGCATACCCATACAAAACATCAATCAGGGATCTCTGGATTTCTCGAGAGACATGACTGGGTATTGCAATTATGGGGTTATTAGAGATGTTAAGGGGCATCTCGATCCAATCCATCCTTCGTGATCGCCTGTCGTTCATGCTTGAGAACATGGAACTACTAGTTCGGACCGAGAAGACGGTGGCTATCATCTATGATTCGGTCGGGCTGATCATCTCAGTTTCCTTAAATTTCGGCATCGGTTTCAGAATCAGCGGTGCTTTTCGCTATTTCTAAACCTGTTAACTCGGCTATTTCCTGCATGAGATCTGGAACATCATCTATCGGAGCCTCTGCTTCTTGCTTGATTAGGGCGATCATGGCTCCTTGCGTGAGTAATGATCTAGGTGGAGAGACAGAAAGGTCTAGATACTGATTCATCTGCTGATACCTAGCCCAGAGTGAAAGCGCACCCTCGTATAATGTGCGAGGGGGTTCCAAGAGGTCAACCATATTTGAAATCTGCAAGATTGGTTTCCCTAGAAATGACGTGGGGGGAATCCGTCTTTCTGTGGACAGGATACGGCTAGGCTCACTACTTTCTGAGCTCAGATCGAATGTTCGGGCGGTTGCAGGGATCATTTGAAACTCCTCTTTCGTCTCGCAACTGAACATTTCGACTAATTGTTCCTATTCCTTTCACTAGGTATATCGTTCAACTCCTCCTCATAGTCACGCTCGTTAAACTTGTCTTCTCCCACCAGGTGTTGTTCCTTGTTATCGTTTAGGGGAGAATCTTTCGGGTTTGGATTCTGGATCATTCCTATCCGGACAACACTGGGATTCTTTTTGGTGATCGAGTAGAGACCCGTAATGGCAGCGTTTGAGGTCTTCCTCCAGTATGCGTGAGGATGAGTTGTTCAAAATCGAAGTGTATCTGTGCTCCTACCACCATCGCCCAGGGCAATCCCAACGCGTTAACCAGAACGTGCACTTGGCCTACCTTGACCGCTACTTTCTCAATGATTCTTACTATGTTCATGGCTTCTTCATCGACCGAAACGTAATTGTCCTTCCCTAGTAGTGGAAGGATCGAGTTTAGTCGGCCCGTTTTTCTGACTGTGTCCAGGGATATGGCTACCACCAGTGCCGATCCCGTGAACGTGACCGACAGGTCCGACACCGGTCACTTGAGCGTGACCGGCCGTTCATTTGGTGTTTTTTTTTGTGAACGGCCGTTCACAGTGAACGGGACGACCACTAAAGAGTGGTGTTTTTTTGTTTTTTTTTTTCGCCTCCCCCAGGTACATTCGCCTCAAGCCCCACAGCGTGGTGACATTGAAAAAATAAAAAAAAATCGAAATGACCTACAAAATAGCAATCGAAAATGCTTATTTTGGCTGGTTGATTTTTTTTTCCGTTTTTAATTTAAAAAAATATTATTCATAAAAAAACAAATTGAAAAAAATATAGGGA